ACCTGTTTGGCATGGAAAGATTCTACTGGTTTGAAATTCTGTTTGTAAAAAGGGTGATAGAAGTGGGTATGACAGTGTTTAACAACAGATGGAATTGTCACCAGTGCCCATTTCATCTGAGCTCTTCCCATGATAATTCTTTTCGGTAAAACTGTTCACGCACTGACCCTCTGAGCAGCTTTCAGTGGGGTACCATATTTTGCTACTGTTTCCATCCAACTTCCATTTATTGTGGAATATCTGTCCAAAATTATACAGCTTTAGAAACACAGAAGATTCCTTAGTAGCCAGGCGTAGATCAGTGTTTGAGCCCTGCTTAAGATGCTGTGAAGAGCAGAGCTTCTGAGCTGAGTGACTTAAATAGCTCCTTGAATCCATTAACTTGCAAGTTGAAGATTTTGTGTCTTGTAATGACTTATTTTACTGTGCTCTGGCTAAAAGATGTGTCTTGAAGGAAATGCCTTGTTATTCAGGCTCACTCATTTCCTTTCCCTTTACCAGTGGTCTCTTTATAGCACACAACATAAAGGTGTTGAGAAAAAAAATGAAACTAATGTCATTTAAGTAAATTTAGGAGTATCTTTTCTTCAGACCACATTTTATGGTTACCATTAATATCCCTGCAGATTTCTTATAGTTAAAAGAAGCAGCAGCAGCAGCACATTACCCCAGGAATCTAAAAGAAAGTGATCTTCAGAAAGTAACTAGAATTTCAGACAGCTTTGACACAGATATTGAACAGAATTTTTAGGTATGTATTTTTTGGAGGGGAAGGGGACCCGCTGTGTTTGGAGCCAACTGGAAGTTATGTCTGCAGAACATGCAGCAGGAAAACCCATGTCCATTCGACTTGTATTCTTAGTGCAAGTGTGACTTTGATCCAGAAGCAAAGTGACCAGGCTAGGGACGGCCAATGCACTATTTTGGGTGACTGCCAGGAAGCGATAATTGTCTTTAACAGCTCTGGTCATTAAAGAGCTTTATTTTAAAACCAATAACCTAGACAAGTCCTTTTTTAAAAACACCAAGTATATAAAAATGACTACTTGTATGTATCTGTGTATATGTATATGTACACACATGTCCATATGTTTGTATTTATAGAAATTATCTTGAATGAATAATGACAATCTTGCACATGTTATGAAAGACTGTAAGCAAGGCTAGTTGTGTAAGGAAGAAATTTCTGGTTAGAACAACCAGTAGGAGAGGAAGGGATGCACAGACTGGAGTTTAGGCCAGTTATCCCTTCCAGACTGAAGATCTGGTTGTGTCTGAATGCTAATCTGTTCTGTCCACCTATGCTACCAGACTGCATTACTCAAAAGATGCTGTCGCTTTCATTTCATTACTTTCTCTTGCCATGACTAGCAGTGTAATGTTAAACATTCACAATCCTTCCTGGGGATCTGCACTATGGTGATTATACAAGCTAAGCAGAAAGATATAAAAGCTAGCTTGTAATCAGTATTTATTTTTTGCTCTCTTGCCATAATTCGTTTTCTCTGTACAGCACAAGTTTGTGCTGAGAATAGATACATACTCACACCTTCCCTGTGGTGGTGCTTTGCTCAACCTTTGACTCAAAAAGCAGCTGCAGTGTGTTCTGAAATACCTGTATTCACTATGATACACTGTTTAGATTATTTCTGAAGGGCAGCTGTTACTGTGCATAAGAAATAGAGCTGTCAAACATGATGGGATTTTATTGTGTTTAGTCCCTTTAGCTGAACCATGTTGGAACTGCTTCACTCCAACAGTTACATGGGTTGCAGCTACCTAAGTGAGTACAAACTAATGTGTTTGTGTCTGGGCTAAAGGAGATGAGAGGGAAGAAATCTTTGTGTTATCAAGAAGATGGTAAAATAAAGCATATTAAAGAAAGGTGACACTTGGTGGACTACTTTGTAATGTTTGCATTAGGAAAAGCACTCTCTTGATATAGGAGACCTGGATCAAAATGGTAGTTTGGAGGATAAGAACTCAGGTACTCAGGAATGCGAAGATTTACTCCCAGTGAGGCTGTTCCACAGAAGTGTTGAGGCTGTGGATGTTTTTTAGAGCAAAAAATTATTTCCTGTGAACTGAATCTAAAATATATGAGATGTCTGCTTTATCTAAAAGGGACTTTTTCATTAGAGGCATATTGGTGCTAGCTATGTTAAACGTTTCCTTTATCAGCCTTTTGGGAAATTTTCTGTCTCCAAGGTTGCTTATATGCAACAAGTTGCTGAGGTCTGTAGTTGCATTTGAGAACTTGGATAATTTACTGCTTTTATGACAGCCTAGTTGCTGAGCAAATGGTTTATAGTGATTTATGGGTAGCAGTAGAGGAACTGGCTTGATCAGGACGGCTACGAAATGGTCAATCTGTTTTCAGAACCTCACATCTGAAACAATAGATGGGCAGTATTGTTAAAACTGTGAATGGTAAATCTATTTTGCACAGTACCAGGTTAGCTATGTTAAATCCTGTGATACTGGGTTGAGGGTAATTTAGAAATCATTCTGGGGACTGGGGAAGGGTACTGGGAATACATGAGAGTTACATAGATAGTCCCTCACTAGCAAAGCTTGAAATATCTTTGTTTTGGGTTGATCCTGGTCAGGAACTGAGCACCCACCAACTGCTCACTCACTTCCTTCTTCCCCTCCAGTGGGATGGGGGAGAGAATTGGAAGAACAGAAGTGAAAAACACTCATGGGCTGTAATAAAGACAGTTTAATAAATGAAGGAAATAAACAAAGAAACCCAAGTGATGCAAAGTCAGTCATTTACCGTTTCCCACCAGTAGCCCGATGCCCAGATAGTCCCCAAGCAACTGCTACATTGGAAAGACCAAGCCCACAGGTTTTATTGCTGAGCACAATATTATATGGCAGGCAATATCCTTTTGGTTAGTTCTGGTCAACTGTCCCAGATCTGTCCTCTCCAAACATTGCTCCCAGCCCCAGCCTGGTAAAAACCAGAAAAGGCATTGATTCTGTGCAATCACTGTTCAGCAACAGCTGAAACACTGGTATACTACCAACACTGTTTAGTTCCAGATACAGAACACAGAACCATACTGACTTCTATGAAGTATCCCAGCCAGAGCCAGTACAGACTTCTGCAGTATCTAACAGAAAAACATATGTTAAAAAAACTTCTTGAACTGTAGCAGGTGGCTGTAATTTAGGATATTGAGAAGACAGCATTTGAGTATGGAAAGAACCATGTCCAGATTGTACTCTTGGCAAAACAAGATAGAGTCTTTGCTTCCTGAGAATGCTGATTCAATTCCAGTCCATTGTGGATGAACAATGCAAGTGCTATATTTCTGTATAATGATTGTGGGCTTGGAGAAAAACACAAAATGTCTGTTGTTTGGCATAACAGATCTTACTTTTCTTTTTTTCCTTATTTCACAGTTGAGTGAGGATGTTCAAATTTTAAATATACTGTATTGTCTTTTTTGAATTAAGAACTTGCAAGTTAAGGTGTTAGTGCCCTATGGAATGTGTATATATCATACATTATGGCATACATTTTTGTAGAGAAGTATACTCAAATTATATACAAGGGCAAGTGTTTTCCAAATGCCTGTTTTAAAGCAGTGACATACATGCATGTAGTATATTTCATTAATACAGTTAAAGGATGTAAAAACATGTGATAAAATACGACACAAATTACCTGCTAGACATGGTATCCCTATGAGTTAATCTGAAATGACTGGTATCTCTTTTCCAGTGGTATTAAGCATGCATGCCCTATGTTGGCAATATGGCAAAAGTTCTTCTAGGCGAAGGTCTTACTGTGGAAGTGATGAGACTGGAAGTGTGTCTGTTGTGATGTCAAACATTTAGTAGTGCTGAGATGCTGTTGGAAAGGGCTGAAGAGTTGATTAGGTCACAAACTAGCATTATCTTCTAACAGTACGGATGGAAGTAGCTTCTGGCTCTCCACACTTGATATTACGGTCAAACCCAGAATCATCCTCGGTTTGTCAGACTGCCTGTTCAGTATTTTTACCTGTTTCATGTGATGAATAGGAGGTCACACAGATTTCTTTTGTCAACTTTTGTGATGTTTCAGATTAAAAGAAAGAAGCAACAAATAAAAGCCTCACCTTTATGTGTCATCTCAGTGTGGAAATTTGAGTAAAACAGTGGCTTATAAAGTTAACTTAAATATGTCTGTGAAATGCAGCACAATGATATTCCACTGTCCATCACCATTAACACTTCTGTGTGTATGCATCAACCACAATGGCAAAGTTGGGAAGTAGGACTTTGTGCTTAATGTGTATTTTTTTATTTAGTTATTTTTTTACAAGTTTTTGCTGTTTATGTTAATCTATAATAAATGGTCGACTGTGAACTCATCACCTTCATCTCATATGGATTTAAATAATTTTAAATTTACAGTTTCAGTAAATTCAGTATTTCTGCTCTCAGATATTTAAACAGCAGCTTGCAACATAAACTCAGGTAAAGTGTGAATAAACGTTAAAAGTCCACAAGCCTTTTTCCAAATGATGCACATCTGAAAATTTTAGGTTACCCAAGTAGCCACAGTAAGGATAATTTGGGGGAATGCTTAGCTGCCTGGATCTGCTAAGTAGCTTGGAGTGATGGTAAATGGAAGTAGGTTTGTCTCTTGCTTCTCTGAATAATGAAAAGCTGTCCCCAAGAGTTGTCATAGCAGCTGTGTTTCTCATCTAAATAGCACTCTATTAGTGTGTGTGCAAGTCTTGCAATTGACTAGCATTCCTCTTAATGGACTGCTTATATGGCCTGATCAGATTCACACTTGAACTTCATTGAAAATATTAATATAGCATTACTTTTACTTTTTTTTTTTTATTTTGTTACTAGTTATTTAAATAGATTTGCCCTAGATGTGAAGAGTGGATTTTTTGTGTGTTTTTTTGAACCTGTTCATTGCGTCCAGCCTGCAATTTAGAGTTTGATTTTGAAGAAAATTAGTAATTTTTTTAATCACTTTTGCCTTGTAGATTAATCTCCGAGCCACTGATGTGAAGCTTATGCGCCAGCTACTCATCATCAATGAAAGTATTGAATCAATCAAGTGGATGATTGAAGAGAAGGCCATTGCCAGCAGAGGTAGCAGTTTGAGTGGTAGCCTGTGCAGCCTGTTGGAAAGTCAGGAGACATCCCTCCACGGCAGCTCTAACAGTTTACAAGACTGTAGTGATGGACTGGATGGAATATCAGTGGGGAGTTACTTGGACACCTTAGTGGATGATGTCCCTGGTCACCAAACCCCTTCAGATATGGACCAGTTCAGCGATTCTTCTATTATGGAGGACTCACAGCCTCTGCATAAGCATCCCAAAATTGATTCTGATGAGTACTACTGTTTTGGTTAATAAAAACAAGTTCCAGTGGGACACTGCACTTGGACTTATCCTTTTTCTTTGCTGCTATTTTGTTTCATGTGCAAAACCCCAAACTTATTTGGAAGGAAAACATAATATGATACTTTGATTACACTTAATAACTTTTCTGTTGCTTCTAATACATTTTCTCCTTGGTGGGATAGGCTTTCCTCCTCCTCACCTTTTCTTAATTTATTGTCGCAATTTTCCTTTTTTTTGTTTTAATTTTTTACAATGCTGTATTTACAGGTCTTTAAAAGTGGTGAAGGAAAAGCTTTATCTTTAAAATGAGACATCAGGGATTAAGAGCAACAATTTTGTACTTGTTGGCAATAAAATACCTTCTGATAAATATATGTTGTGGTAAATTTTCTTGACTACCAGGTTTGGCCTTTCCAATGACACTGATCCTACTGAGCCTTAAATCTGAACCTTGAAAATACCTCTACAAAGTACTTTTCCTTTTGTAAGCAATGACATTTGATTCTGTTAAGATGTCCTAACTTGGAATATAAAGTATCCTAAACTTTTCTGTGTGGGGCTTCTTTCTTGTTGAATGTTCTCGTCCTTCATGTCTAATCGTGATTTTAAATTCTGGGCTTCATTGGTGTCTTGCAGTGATGCATTCCCATAGGAAGCTCTGCATAAGAGTATATTTCATTTTTGTGCTTTGTACCTTCCTTTTTCGGTTAAACTACTGTTTTATAGTCACAGTCTAGATCTGTAAAAAAAATGAGTCATCCCACATTTAAAAAATCCAATTCTAGTAGTTTGGTTACTGAGCCAAAATTCCTTAGCAGAGTTATTTTAAAAATGTCTTAACAATTTTTATCTTGAAATTTTGAGGGATTTAGAGAGCACTGGTGAAATGTCTTACAGTAGGCAACATGCTAGAAGAAATGTCCTGTTTTGCTTTTGTATGTATACCCTCATCCTTAACAAGTTAACTTTCTTTTTACCAAATATTATTACTAAGCGAAAGTGTTGCCCTGCAGTCTTTTTGTTTCCTGTTCTACAAATAAGAGTTTGCTTTAACCTTTTATGCTTACTGGTACAGTTGAGAGCCACAGCTCATCATTCATATTGGAAACATCGGAGAAGAAAAGCAGGAACAAGCTGCTGTGTGGAAAGTCTCTGGCTTTGACACTCCCCTGACCCATGATTTTGTGCAGAAGACTAGGATGCTAATTTATCTTCTAATTGATTCAGAATCATAATGGAAGGAGATTTTATCCTTTGTAAAAAGGATATCCAGTGTAAAAAGGTATCCAGTGTAAAAAACAATAATAATAAAAGAAACAAAATTGAACTAGGCACTTCAGCAGATTAACAAACATGAATTTCCAGTTTACAGATAGCGAAAGAGATGTTGATTCTTACACATCATCTAAAAGTGTCCTGTTTTGCCATGACTGTATTCCTACTGTCAGTAAAGCATGAAATTCCCTCACCAAAGAAACTAATGTTTGCCAAGTATAATACAGTCTCCCTATTTAAAATATATTCTACACATTCTGAAGAAATAAAGCTAGTATATGCAGCAGTTGACATCTTTGATTTGGTTCATTTTGAGATAAAGTAATAGTCCAGTAAGGTTCTGCTCTTCCAAGCCATGTTTCTATGGATCTGTCTTGTCCAGCCTTGATTAACATCAAACATGGAGAAAAGGTAAAAACTCAAGAAATTGAAAGTGGCAATTTCTACTTTGTGGTTAGCTCCATTACTTCTCAATACAGTAGATATCTGTGTCCCTCAAAATTAGAAAACAAGATATGCATATTTTGCTTTGGACATCAGAAATTGTTCAGATAGGATGAGAGTGAAGAAATGTGTTGTTACAAAGAATGAGGCTTCTCAGTTCAACTTCTGAGATCAACCAGGGTATTGCAGATAGCTTGAAAGAAAACAGGGGCAAGCCCTCAAATGTCAATGCTGTGCTGACTTAACATTTTTAGGATTTGTAATTCCTTTCCCATCTTATGACTGTTGGACATAATTTTGAAAAATAATGAAGAAAAAATCTTGGAAAAATTTATTTCTCAGTGTACCATTAAATACAACATCAACTGTGAATTGAAAATAGGTTTTATTACTTTACTTTAAAGTGTGCAAATACAGGGAACAGAACTAAATTCCTGGAGTAAAACTGTGACTCTCTTAAAAGTTTTTCTACCTTTATTACTTTTCATGGAAGTTAAATATCAGGATATAGGCTCACTCTGAATGTAATGTATGTGCAATATATACAGCCTTTTCTTCTCCAGCTGAGATTTGGGCAGTAGGCCAAGTTACACATAAAATTTTTCAACTATGAAAGAATTTCAAAAATATTCTTAACATACCTTCTCAAGTAGCCCCTAGAGTTATGCTGAAATTACTTAAAGGAAAATATATGCTGTGGCTGTCACCCACCCACTCACTGCTGTATTACCGGATAAAGAGTAATTACATCAGCGATAAATTTATCATATTGTGGTTAAAAAGATCATTTAAATGGGAATCAAAGCTGGCAGAAAAAAAGCCTATTAGTAGAAGTGGTGAAATAAAAGCTGTATGCAATTAGAAGCTTTTGTTCCTGTATGTCTCTTGATTGGAAGTGTAGAAAGAGTACAAATAACAGAATAGAGACGCTAGGAGACTGTTATAAGGAAACAAGAATTTCCAGGTGTTGTGTTTCTCATATCCAAGAACACAAACACCTTAGATTTTATTTTTGAGGCATAAAAACTTCAAAGATTTAGCTTAGATTCCTTAATCACATCAATAGGACTTCATAGCCAAAAGATAGCAATTTACTGTGACTTGCCACTTAAGACAGACTATGAAATTTGAATATCTCTTAAAATAAATCCAATAACTTACAACTGAACTACAACTTTATTATTTAGACAATGGAAAGTACTCAATGCCTCTTAAAAAAAAAAAAAAAAATCCTATTGGGTAATCAATTTTGCTTTTAAACAGTTTACATATTTCTTCCAGCTTCCTCTTGATTTGATCAATCTTGGTCTTGAAAAATCTTTGGTAAGAAGGGATTTGGATGCCGCCCTCTAGCATTTTACAGAGCTGGATTCTTTTTTCCCTTGGGTTTCCTTGTAATTTTTTTTCTGATTTACAGAACTAAAAAACTATTCAGTATTATAGGGCAGAGTATCTGAAAGCACTTTACAAAGCTATGTCTGTTTCAGATGGATAAAAGCAACAAAAAATAGCAAATATAATTAGTTTGTTCTCTGTAATTTTCTATCATCATGACTCTTCTGTCACTTAGCTTGCTTTCAGGCATGACAAAATTTCAAGACAATTTGTGAAATCACAGACAAGGAGCAACACCCAGTCCATTCTTATTTCCATACTGCTGAAGATTTGTCTTTGAAAGACATTCCACGATGTAAGCTGTGTAATGCAGAGACAATATATTAATAATAGGACCCAGGTAGTAAAATAATGTGCTCTGGTTCACAAAGAAAGTATGAAATGAGGAAAAAAAAACAACCAACCAAACAAACAAAACACTACCTCAAACTTTCACATATGAAAACCATGGTGCTTTAAAGATTTTGCCAAGACAGTCTAGCTGTGAAATTTTGTTGCAGTTTCAAAAGGGCAATTAAAATTCTTCGAAATCTCTCTGCCAGCTGCCAGGTCTAGTATTGATCTCAAGGCTGTATGACTGTTTGTGTCTCCACAAGTGCTGTGAGAGAATGAAGAACGAGGGAGGAGCTCTTGGATCTATCTGTAGGCCAGAAACATTGGACTAGGACGCTGAAGGCAGAACAGCATCTCTGCCTTTGGAAGGCACACTATCATTACCCTGCAAATCAAAATGGGATGATAAGAAAAAAGGCAGAAAACTGGTGTATCTATCTTGTTGAAATGATCCCTGACTTTTGAAGGGAGTGGTAAAATGCTGAAAGTACTCTGAAAATATTTGAAGTCTCAAAAAGCTTTCTCTGCATTTCCCTTTGAAAAAGAGAACTCATTAGTCAAGTACAGTCTGAAATTATGTCTGGTTACACCATATAGCTGCATGTTTTATAACCCTGTATAATCCACAGAGAAACTGTGGAGTTTTTGTTTAGTCATCTTAAGCAGTTATTAAGCTTTCTAAAAAGCCTGTGCTAGTATTTTTCATGTTGCCAACTCTTCTGAACCAAGCCTAAAAGATGTGTCTTTGATATAAAGAATTAACATATACCCAATAAACATGAGATCAGTAGAAAGCATCCATCACTTGACAGCAAAGGACGCTTTGTTTCAATTTAAATGTGCTCTGTTACAGTAACTTTGTCTTTCTCAGAATAGCTATGAATATACTACAGAAACAGTATAAGAATATCCTTCCCTAAAACAAATAGAAGCTTTTCCTTTACATAAATTAAAAAGACATTAATGCTACCTCCACTTGACATTTCCATTGGTCAGAGATTAAATTTCCCTAGTAAGTGTATCTATAGTGAGAATAAAACTTTTTTTTTTTTTTTTCCACCATGGAATTTTCTGTGCTGTGTTATAGCACTAATAAGATAAACAGTCTTCATTAAGTCTTTTTAAAAGCATGCTCTTTCAGCAAACATGTCTGGTCTTCATGAATGACATTTCCCTATAGTCTTTCTTGGTTTTGTTGGCTCAGTCCTGAAATAAACATGTTTGAAAAGATATGTCTTTTAGTTACTGTTAGGGAACTATATGGTAAAAATGTTTGAGATAAATATCTGTTACACAGTTTGGGGTTTTTTTTATCATTTTTTTTTCCCCAAGTTAGCTGCAAAAACTAAGTTGATATTCCTGAGAATTTTTTTTTTATTTTTTACCCACTTTTGTCTAACCTCCATATAGAGAGAAAGCAGTAGATTGGGCCAAAAGGTCTGAAATCATGCTCTTACCTGTGGACTGTAGAGCACATTTTTCCTCAGTGCAAACTTGTCAGCATTTCTCAGTCCAAACATTTATAGCTGACAGCTGTAACTTTACAATACATTTAAACCCTTTCATATGACCACTGTATTGATAATCTTCTGAAAACCCATGAGACCACTGAAACCTTTTAATTTAGAAAGGATACAGCTTTGATTTTGTGAAGGAAAATATTATTAGAATAGTGTAAATTTTGGTCTATGAATTATAGACTCAAAGGACAAAGTACAGAATAAAATTAAAAATATTTTGTGTTAGGACTATCCTTATTATTAGAATAGAGTAAATGTTGGTCTATGAATTATAGACTCAAAGGACAAAGTGCAGAATAAAATTAAAAATATTTTGTGTTAGGCCTATCCTGTGATAGTCTGCGTCCTCTTCAATGTTGAGAAAGATAATGTTTCACTTCGATGTTTGTTAAACCCCTTGAAAATATAAAGCAGTTTACCTTTTTCAGATGACATTTTTTGATGTTTTGTCACAACTGTTTAAAGTTGTTGTAAAAGCAAACAGTTGTAGTCCCTTATTTAAAAGGATGCACTAAAATACTGAGTTAAAAAATAGATTTTAAGCTTCAGAAATTTTAATTGTAAGCTAACAATTGTTGAGC